GCTGGAATATGGTCTGGAGGTATCATTGGACCATTCATTTTTGATGGAACTGTCACAGGAAATTCATACCTAGCGTTACTCAACGAAAAGCTGTGGCCAGAAATCGAACACCATGTGGAAGCAGAGCACCTTTACTTCATGCACGATGGAGCTCCAGCACATTTCAGTCAGCAGGTACGGCAGTGGCTGGACGAAAAGTTTCCCAATTCTTGGATTGGACGCAGAGGCCCAGTGGAGTGGCCACCGAGGTCACCAGATTTGACACCGGCTGACTTTTTTCTTTGGGGAGTTTTGAAAGATCAAGTGTGTGGTAAGTGGCCACGGACAGTTGCTGCACTCAAACAAGCAATCATTGATTCAATCCGTTCCCTGCCTGTGGATTTGTGTCAAAAAGTGTGCCGTTCTGTTCGATCACGACTGGAAAAATGTCTAGACGTTGGCGGCATTCAAACGGAACTGTTTTGAGTGAACTTCCTTACACCATCGTAAAGAGAACTTTCTGGTCTACAAAGTGGTGTCATATTATTTGGTCTACGCCTTTTACTTTCTGAGTTATGCATCTTCAAACAGTGGGTAGTTTCTTTTGGAACACCCTGTATATATATATATATATATATAACTTTCTGCCATAATTTTTTCCCTCCTTATTTCATGATTTTTGGCCTAATTTGTTGAGCAGAGAGCATCAGGAACCTCCTCAACACAGCGATTGTCGAGTATCACCAACACACGTGCATCCGGTTCGTGGAGAGGAACGGAGATCCCAGCATCACAAATTATGTCAACATCCGAGGAGATCAGTCAGGGTTAGTGTAGTGGAGATGATATATTTCCCCTTCACAGAGATGAACTTCTTAAACTCGCAGTTAATCGTATGGGTCCTGGAAGATGATATGTTGCTGCAGTTTTCGTGCATTTCATTGTTATCCATTCTAATTAAATGGGATTGATGTTAGTTCATTAGAAAGTAGAATAAAATCCAATAATCAATGTACAGGTATAATAGTAATAACAATCCCACAGAGTAAGGGAGTAATAAAAAATATATAAATGTTGATATTGCAGTACTAATGGCATAGACAGGAATGGGAAATGACTAAATAAAAGTAAGGCATTACTCTTTACTTATTCCTTTCAGTATTTTGTTTTGGTAAAATCGGTATTTGTTTCACTCTGGAAAATTCTGGTAGCTCTCATACTCTGTAGTTAAAAGCAAGTAAATTACTGTAAGTAGGTACTTTTTGGGTTTCATTATTTACATCCCTTAAAGTTTTAAATTTCAAGTGATTTCTACTAGTATTTAGGAGTTGAGTGCTTTGGTTGGCCAGCTTTGGGATCATGTCTGTCTATTCTCAAAGAGTTACATACAGCATAATGTCTTTGGTTGTCAACTTTCTCTAGTATAGCATAACTTATGGCAATGTTGGTTAGGTTGGTAGAACGGCCAACCTAACCAACATTGCCATAAGTTATGATACAGATACGCACCGTATACGCAGGGGAGACCGGGGCTGGTTGTGACAGGGGTAGGTTGTAAAGGGGGGGGGGGGGCAGTTCTATGCCTTTTTCATTGCGGCACTGAGGGTGCCTGCTGTCCACTCAAAAAAGCACCCGCCATATTTAAACAAAACGACAACACGAGGCTGACCGTTGTTAGGAAAATACTCATAAAAAGTTTTTCAGGCCATGTAAGTTAAATTTTTCGCCATCAAAGAATTTGTAAAGCTTTCCTATACGTGCAATTTGAGTATTAGGAGTATTGTTGAAAGTGGGATGTAATACCTATATACTGTATTTGGTACAGTTTCTGGAGGCTCACCTTTTCACGGAAAATCTGTTAGCAAACATTTTGTGCCTTGAGTATGTGGGGGGAGGTTGGTTGTATTAAAGTTGAAGGGGCAGGTCGTAACACTGTAAGAATTGGTCACACGAAGAATGCGCCAACACTCATGGTAGGTCGGCATATACACGTCACAATTGTGACAGTGATGATGATGGAGTAAAATCTACTTTTAATTGCAAAATATGAAGTCGAATAAGGTCTTTAAGTTTAGAAAAACGTGACCGAACCCAGGAAAGTTTTACCGTGGATGGCCAATGATTTTTATTTTGTGTGTTGCACGATAATAATATCGTTGCTCAGTTATTTTAGTTTTTTCTTTTATTGATCTATTTATCGACTGTAAGCAGTTATAATTACTGTTACGGCATGTGTTACACTCAACCCCAAGCATGGGGTCAAAAGTAAAATTCCACTAGCCTTTGAAAATCGTGAATTGTCCCTAAGAGAGTAAACAAATGTGATTTCAAATGAGTGGTATGATGGCCAAGATGTTAACCTTTCGATTGATACTTAATAGAGTCCAACTCCTATTAGTATGACGTCGAACGCGTTATTTCTGAGAAATGTTACAACCTGCCCCAGTCCCCCCATTAGTATCGTCGAAAAATGCAAGAGGGATGACGCCAACGTTTATTGGGTTGCATCCATTGAGCTGAGGATATAGCACTGATGCAAGAAGTATGTACATCACCATCCCTCTATTAAATTTTTTGATGAACTATGTAACTGCATAAATGAATGTATCTTGAATATTCTTGCGATGAGACACGAATGATACTCCACAGATGTTGGTCGTACGTGGGGATGTACAAATTCGGATCCCAGGACCTGTCCATTCAGATCCCAGGCTGCGACTATAAGGGGCTCCTCCTCCACGAACTGATGCACGCAGCGGGCTTCTGGCACGAACACACCCGCTTCGACCGCGACGATTACGTCGTCATCCTCTGGGACAACATCCTCCCCGGCCAAGAGCACAACTTCGAGACAAAAACCCTGGCAGAATCCCAGGAATTTGGAGTTCCGTACGACTTCGAATCCATCATGCACTACGAATTGGACGCCTTCAGCAGTAACGGGGAGAACACTCTTGAGCCTTATGGGGAATGGGCTGGGACCGACCCTGGCCATGTCTGGGAGCAGAATTTTTTCGCCCGGTCCGACATCGAGGAACTCAATGCTCTCTACTGCTCTAAGAAATAGACGCCGGTCATTTCAGGCGTGATATGCATGTATTTTTATTTTTATTTGAGGGGGAAGGGGACTTTTCTCCTCGCCCTAAGACATTTCAGCTTTTCTTAGTAAAACGAAGCACTGAGCGACATGCATCAAGCAGATCGATATAACTAAAATTTATTAGAATCCATCATGGCTTCCTATGAGAATTTGAGTTTCTGCTGTTCTTGAAGGAGCCCATTGCGGAAATTTACAGGTTCAAAGCTAGGGTAGGGACCTCAAGAGTCACTTTTGCCCATTATGACTTCCTGGGTCAAGGTCTTGTGGCGCACAAAAATGTTTAACATGTTGGCTGACCTATATTTTCATCATTTATTCAGGTAAAAAATTAAATTACATGTCATTTGATAGAGGGACTCAATACTTTTTTTAATGCTAAAAAATATGTTCAAACTGTTCAAAATGTTCACCATTCTTTTTGAAAATCAATTTGTAACAACAGTTTTTTCAATAACAATGCCCAGTGCTTCGCGTGTTATGCCTCTGAGCGCTGTAACCGCCAACATTTGAGTCTATCAATGATGTGTGGTTTTCTGGAGAACACCTTTTCTCTAAGGAAAACCCATAACAAAGCATATCAGTAAAAAATTAGAACTGCTAGCCACGAGATGTCCCCTCTCGTGCTCATATCGCATTCTCTTCATCTTATTAACAATATTCTTAATCGTTGGATTTTTTGGGGGTGTTTTATTAGGAAACCATAGTCTACATTCTCTCTTCGCAGAAACAGGTGAATGCATTCCGATAATTTTCTGTCCGATTTACACCTTTTGCTCTGTCTTCTTTTTTCTTGATAAAACACCCTCATCCAACAATTAAGAATAGCGTTGATAAGTTTGATAAGCCAGGAAGATCTCCTAATATTGGACTGCTAGTTTTTATGGGGGTTCCTTAAAGAAAAGGTGTTCTCCACAAATCTGCATTATTCGTAGACTCAAATGTTGGCGGTTACAGCGCTTAGAAGCATAACAAACGAGAAGTTGGGCAATGTTATTGGAAACACTGCTGTATGTTAAGAACAGATTATCCAAAGGAATGGCTAACAGTGTGAACGTGTTTCTCAACATGTAAAAACTTATTGAGTTCAAATATCAGATGACATGTAATTTAATTTTCTACCTGTATAAATAATGAAAATATAGTTTTATGAAATGTGAAACATTTTTGTGCGCCACAAGACCTTGACCCAGGAAGTCATAATGGGCAAAAGTGACTCTTGAGGTCCCTACCCTAGCTTTGAACCTGTAAATTTCCGCAATGGGCTCCTTCAAGAACAGCAGAAACTCAAATTCTCATAGGAAGCCATGATGGATTCTAATAAATTTTAGTTATATCGATCTGCTTGATGCATGTCGCTCAGTGCTTCGTTTTACTAAGAAAAGCTGAAATGTCTTAGGGCGAGGAGAAAAGTCCCCTTCCCCCTCAAATAAAAATAAAAATACATGCATATCACGCCTGAAATGACCGGCGTCTATTTCTTAGAGCAGTAGAGAGCATTGAGTTCCTCGATGTCGGACCGGGCGAAAAAATTCTGCTCCCAGACATGGCCAGGGTCGGTCCCAGCCCATTCCCCATAAGGCTCAAGAGTGTTCTCCCCGTTACTGCTGAAGGCGTCCAATTCGTAGTGCATGATGGATTCGAAGTCGTACGGAACTCCAAATTCCTGGGATTCTGCCAGGGTTTTTGTCTCGAAGTTGTGCTCTTGGCCGGGGAGGATGTTGTCCCAGAGGATGACGACGTAATCGTCGCGGTCGAAGCGGGTGTGTTCGTGCCAGAAGCCCGCTGCGTGCATCAGTTCGTGGAGGAGGAGCCCCTTATAGTCGCAGCCTGGGATCTGAATGGACAGGTCCTGGGATCCGAATTTGTACATCCCCACGTACGACCAACATCTGTGGAGTATCATTCGTGTCTCATCGCAAGAATATTCAAGATACATTCATTTATGCAGTTACATAGTTCATCAAAAAATTTAATAGAGGGATGGTGATGTACATACTTCTTGCATCAGTGCTATATCCTCAGCTCAATGGATGCAACCCAATAAACGTTGGCGTCATCCCTCTTGCATTTTTCGACGATACTAATGGGGGGACTGGGGCAGGTTGTAACATTTCTCAGAAATA